CCATAAAACGAAACGTCGACAAAAAGAAAGTCGCAATTTCGGCCACAAAAACGATATCCCCTTTGCTTTTTGTCCTAAAAATGATATACAGCTTGCCCCGTGCCAGCGATGCCAGCCCCTGGCCACGGCACGACAAGTGTAGATATGAATGTCTGGTGTACTATATAGTATATGCTTGACCAAGTTGAAGGTTCGCAACCTTTCCAGACGGAAATCTATTTTTTTGGTTTTCCCCAGACTTCACATACATACATAGAACGGAGCTCTTGCGCTTGTTCAAATACTATCTTGAGAGCTTGCTTCGCTCATCAAAGGATATAATTATCTCGTACATTTTTATATCTTCTCCGCCGTTTCAGGGTAAGCAACAAGCATTAGTTTTGCGCAGACCTAATAGTATGTCATTTTCATCTCGCAGTTTCTAGTCGTCCCACCGGAATGTTCACACCTGGTTTCTTCTTCACGCTATCTGAGAAGGTTGATTACATTCAGGTTTGTAGAGTTTTTGAGTCGATTTTTTGAGAGCAAACGCGTCTTTGAAGCTAATGACATACGACTACGCCTCGAAAGACATGCTTGGCGTTGCTCCTTACGACTGGGTGGATCGTTCGGTTGCAACTATTCTGAACAAGATGCCAGATATAGCTGGCCAGTTGATGGTGGGCTTGAACCATTACGGATACGAATACACTGGCAAAAATATGCAAGCAGTGAACTTTCAACAGTGAGTATCTCTTCAATACTATTGAAGGGATATATATCTTTCCTCACTTCGTTTTTTAGATACGTTGAAATCTTAAAAAAGAAGGACAGTAAAGTGGAATGGGACTCAAAGTCGAAAGAGCACTTTATCGCCACTGGGTTAGTTATTTTGGATATTTATACTGAATATTATTTTACCCACCTCAGCTATGGTTAAAAAAAAAGACTGAAAACTACTAATAGAAATTCCATCTTTCGGATGCTTTCTGGTTTCATTTAAGAAAATCGTTAGGTCAGTTATCTTAACAGATTGACTCAGCTACTTGGGAAAAAAGAATTATGTTTTTTCCTTCACATCGAGTACTTCTGATCAGCACAGATTACAAAGATAAATCTAGAAGAGACCGCTTAAACTTCTATCATTTTGAGTAGGTTGCTAAAAATCTATAACGTTACGGA